AACAACAAAAATACTATAATTTAAAAAAAAAAAAAAAAAAAAAAAAGCTAAATTGACTTCATCAAAATATAAAGGTTCTGCTTTTCCAAAAAAATTCAGAACTTATCTACCTGGCAAAGGACAGAGGTCCACAATACAGAAAGAATAATAACAAGAAAAGTCCAGCAGTAAAAGATTTGAATAAAATATCTGCCAAGAGATGCACAATTAGTCAATCAGCACAAGAAAGATGCACGCCTCATCACTAATCATCAGAGAAATCATGTGGCAGGAAAGATAAGACCAATACCACGGGATAGTGAGATGTACTCTCACACTTTGGTAGCAGGCATAAAGTGTTATGACCACTCTGGAAAGTTTGTCAATCGCTTATATGATTAAAATACTTTTATCTTTTGCCCTAGCAATTCCTTTTCCAAATAAGAACATATCCACAAAAAGACTCTTATAAGAATGTTCTATGAGTTTTATTCCTAATAGCCCAGATTTTGAAATAACTGAAATGTCCATTGGTAGGAATAAAGATACATGAATTGTGGTACATCCAGACAATGGAATGCTACTCGACAACAAAGAGGAACAAACTTTTAATAAACACAACATGAATGAATTTATTTAACATTAAGTTAAAAAAAGAAAAGAAAAGAAAGCTAGACACAAAAGACCAGACTATGATTCAGATTATTTGAAATTCTAGAGCGGGCAGAACTATGGTGATAACTGATCACTGTCTGCAAGGAGCTGGGGTTGGCTGTACAGGGGATAGAGCAAGTTTTGGGGATGAGTGAAAAGCCTGAGGGGTGGTGATCTACACATCTGTCCAAATTCACGGAACAGATGTACTTTAGTAAAGTATATCTAAATAAAGTAGATTAAAAATTATTTGGAAACAATCAAATTTTATAGAATCCCTTTGCAGATTCCTTCTCATCCTGGGGCCCCAGGGTCCAGTTTCTTTCATTTCTCCATTTATACTCATCTTCCCAGGATTTCATCTATCCCATCATTTAAAATACCCGCTCAATAAGGATAGCTCCCAAATTCTATATGTCTAACTGGACATGTCTACTGATGCCCAAACTCAAAGCAACAAACTACGTAACTTCTCTACTTGGTTGTCTAATGAGTATCTCAAACTAGAAGCTTCCCACTCGTCTCTTGGTAAAGGGATCATTCTTTTACCCAGTTGCTCTGCCCCAAATACTAAAGTCATCTTAATATATCTTTATGACTTATCATCCCATGCCCAATCTTCAAAGCTATTTTCCTATCTCACATCAAATATGACTCAAACCCAAGTCTACCTTCAAAATTCACCCTGGACCAAATAGTTTCTACTTAAGCTCATCCAGGCTAGGACCATCATCACAATGTCCTGACTAGTCTACCTGTCTTCTCACCCCTAGTCTGCGGTTCACAGAGCATGCAGGTGCTCAAGACTTCTAACAACTATCCACCACACTAGAATAAAATCAATGTTTCTTAAGAATGGTCCAGGGGCTGGGGATGTGGCTCAAGCGGTAGCACGCTCACCTGGCATGCGTGCGGCCTGGGTTTGATCCTCAGCACCACATACAAAGATGTTGTGTCCACCGAAAACTAAAAAATAAATATTAAAAAAAAAAAGAATGGTCCAGGATGGGGCTGGGGTTGTGGCTCAGTGGTAGAACGCTTCTTCATACTTGTGAGGCACTGGGTTCAATCCTCAGCACCACGTAAAAATAAATAAAATATGAAGGTACTGTGTCCATCTATAACTAAAAAA